CCAATATGTAGGGGGGAAATCTACTTTCTGCACTGTCTGCACAAAATAATTTCATTGCACTACTAATCTGTTTGTGTGTGTGTATCTGTGTGTGTGTGTGTGCGTCTGCGCGTGTGTGTGTGTGCTCTCAGGTCCAGCTGGCCAGGTGGAGCAGGGCAGTCAGGTGAGGACGTGTCAAGAAGAGGCAGAGAGGTTGCTACTCTTCATCTGTTCTGCTTCAGTGCAGCTCGAGCAGCAGAAGTCCAGAGGCGGTTCTGCAGAGCGGCTGCTGTGTCTCCAGAAATCTCTCTTGATACACTAAGTTAAGGCTTGCTAGAAAAACTCTATCTCTCATGTAGTTCAGATAAATGTGCAATAAAATGCCACGGGTGCTGAGAAACTTTTCTTAATCAAACCAAAAGACCACAAACATTTCCAACCTTATGTTAGTAGCACAACAGTGGTATTGGTGTTAGTAGTAAAGTAATAAATGTTGGGCACTGACGGTGGTGGGACTCACTGGTTCCGGGCCTGGCGTCGGACACGTCCACCAGCGGCCCGGTGGCCTGGGACAGAGACTGGTAGTGGACCGTGTGCGTCACCGTGGACGATTTCTGCTTGTTCGTCTCCCCGAAGTCATTGTCTGTCAACAGCACAGTGGACCTGTCATCTGAGACACACAGAGAAGACGTTAGGAGAAGGAACAACAGGAAGTAAAGCAGAAAACTCAAAACGTCAATATTATAACCTAACCGTGAACTTTCTAACTCAGCACTATCCTACTCACATACTTCACTGTATTCAATATGCATTACAACTCATATAATAATTAAACCCTGCACCTTCCGGTTTGGTTGAATACTCAATTCTGTATGGTCAATTTACGAACATTCTGTGGTCTGCTATTTTTCACTAGCAGACCGTTGCTATGGAGGATGCTCTGATCAATGTGCAGTCATATCAATCTGCAGAAAGACCTCAACTAATTTGATCGTTTGCTGACAAATATATTCGTTTTTATGTATCAGAAAACACTGTGAAATACCTTTTATACATTTATTTTTATATTTGTGGGGAGCAGGAAACTTTGGCTGGATGTCAGAGAAATCTACAGAAGATGACAAACAGGAAGTAAAAGTTTAAAGGAACAGCAGGAGAAGACAGACAGGAAGTAAACACTAAAGGGAACATGGTATGGGCTCTGGCAGTGTTTAAAGACTGATTCATGGAAACTACTGTAACATTAGTTACTCTTTGAACTTTCTGGTTTTGTCGTGCTTGTACTATACTATGTGCAATAACAAGAAAGTTTAATCTAATTGAATCATAAGCATTCATAATATGCTACCCGATGCACATTATTTGTCAGGCTCTTACCGATTGTCTCCATGGTGTCCCGCTCCTCGATGAGTAGCTGGGCTCGGGGAATGTCGATGTGCATCCGTAACGTCTGCTGCTGCTTGTTCACCGTGTCTGGAGTGCGAGTGTTCTTGCTGAGGAGATTAATGAGAACATTTCATTACTTTTCAGCTGTGTTATTCTGCATTGTGTCGCAGAAATGCTAATTCAATTCCATTTAAGTTGATAAGTAGCTGTGAGAAGGCAAGAGGGACAGCGTATCCCGAGTGCTGGATATTAGATATTTACAGATAGGTACTGTAACTCCAGGCTACATTGTGATTTATGTTCAACCCCTTAAAGAAAAACAGCGGGCATACATTAAAATTAAGCATACGTACCTCATCAGCATTTCTGCCAGGCTCTTGGCATCTGTGAAGTCAGCAAAGAGTTAGTGAATACCATACTAGTACTGTCCTTGTTGATAAGCTACAGCGGTGGAAATAATGTGCAATCACAATTCAGCTTAGAAAAAGGCAACAAAGGCATGTTGAAGAGAAAATGAACAGGGCGGAGTTTGACCTGAACACAAAACTGCTGAAGTCTCTTGAATACTGAAGAAAAGTTTAGCCTCTCTTTTGGTTTGACCAGTGGCGGGCCGTGACTTTTATACCTAGGCCCTCTGACTCACCCCTTCCCTCGAAAAAAAATTATTATGTCACAGCGTATACTTCAGCGGAATATCAAAACAACGGCCCGGGGTGCAAAACGCATCAATGAAAGCGACCCTCTACCACACAAAACAACACCTGTAAATAAACCAAGTGTTCTTTGAAATTGAAAAGGATATTGCATTTTGTTTGTTACTTTCGTTGCAGTTGTATGTCTTAAGTGTAATTTGGCATGCTTTTATTTTGAAGGCGAGTTTACGCTGTTGACAGGAAGTTGTTGTTGTTGCTATGGAAACAAGAACAGTTTCACAGCGGGCGGAACTTGTCATAAAGTCCGCGATAATAACACCCACCCATTTAGAGGGAAGATATGATTGGTCAATTGTGCTGTCATTTGACATTACTCTCTCGTTCAGTTGCTATAGCGGGCCCGCTGTGAATTTACAACAGGACCCCCAATCAGCTCCTATCTGCCTGGCAGAGACCAGCTTCTTTCATTTAACCCTTCACATTCAAACAGAAACTGAATAGGCAGATTCAAAGGATTTATTTCTTTTGAAATGTTATTTTAAATACAATTAAATCAAGTTATTTTGGTAAAACTAATGAAAAATATAACTAACAAAATATTTTAAAAATACATATTATTATTCTGGCTGTAATGCAGCACCTGTTTTCTTTTTGTTACTCAAAGTGAATTCTTCAGTTTTCTCATACAATATAATATGTACTTTGATCTTGGACCCACCTCTGAGCCTCTTGAGCCTCTGCTCCCTCCGCCTCCTCTTCAGCACCATGAGCATGATGAAGACGAGCACGGCCACCACCAGGACAGACGTGATGGTGACCACCATCTTCAGACCGCCGCTGCCCGACATGTTGTCTGAGATGGGGTCTCCTGTTTTCAGCAGGGGGGGGATGGTACCTGGGAAATATATATAATCAGACATTCATGAGGAGAATCCAACAGCATCTTCATCATCTGGAGTTTATTCTTCTTTTTGTCTACTTGGAAGATATGGAGTGACATAGTCTTTTTTTTCAGTGCAACATTTGTTCAGATTTACTGCTTTGCTTATTTTATGCAACACCAAATACTATTATGCATGCATCACCATAAACACTGTTAAAACAACTGTAAGTCAAGCAGATTTAAAGGGAGAAACATCCTTAATGCAATCACTTATTAATATTGATTTTCCACACGCATGATTTTAATGTGCAGAAGGAGGAAACCCCTCAGGCTGTATTTCTTCTAGTTGATGTACACAATTAAAGAAGCAGTTGTTGCTGCAGTAAACATATTAAAAAAGTATTTCAGTTATTTGATTTGCCACTAACTGAAGTGTTAGTAGGCATTTACAGTATGCATGCATTTTAAACAGGGCTGCAGCACACGCTGTGTTAATGGTAGGAAGGGCAAATACACTCCATACAGTACAGAAGGATAATGTAAGTACTGAAGTTCAATTTTGAGGTCCTTGTTTTTTTACTTTCTATTTCTATTGTATGCTACTCTATACATCTACTCCACTGCATTTTAGCAGACAATATTGTACTTTTTACTCCACTACATTAACCTGACAGCTTTTTACAGATTCAGATTATTAGCTCAATTTATAAATCAACAATAAACATATTATTATAAGTTCAGATATCCAGCAGCAGTTTATAAAGTGAATAGCATTGTGCACACTGTGATGTCATAATCGAGTCATTTCATATATATACTGTACTGTATATATGAAATTGATATGTGCGTTTAGGCATAACACGTACTTTGACTTTAGGTACTTTAGTCATGAAGACCATTAAATACAAACGTTACATAACTATGGTTTACAATAAAACTCTATTATAAGTAAAAGTCTTGGATTCAAAATGTTACTTCAGTAGCCGTACAGAAGAATGCTTTCCCCTCTGTAATTTCACATTGCAATGTTTTCTTTATCCTAAGATATTATAGAAAAGACTGTGGCTAATCAAAGCATGGGCACCGGGTTTAGAGACTGCTTATAGTCTGCTGGGATAAGCTATGAGCATCCACACACACACACACACACACACACACACACACACACACACACACACACACACACACACACACACACACACACACACACACACACACACACACACACAATCGGATTTCNATATAAGGGAAGGTTAGGGTGGGGGGTATAGGACTATCAAACGAGATCAACCGGAATGGATTGATGGGGGGGGGGGCTATGAGTAGACAAGAGGAGAAGAGATGAGTTTTGAAAAGGGACTGGAATACTGCGAGGGTCTGAGAATAGCGGAGATCTTTGCATCAATATGTTCAAAACGTTTTTTTTTAAATGTAAAAGAAATGTCTAAAATTATAAATAGTGAAAAATTAAATATAAAATATTTCTAGTGTGAACCAAAATATAATACTACATATTATAGAAGTGATTTTTCTTAACCAAAATTACAAAAATGGCATAACAACACATATTATTCTAATACGGGTCCTTTTTGACCCACTTATGGAAGAGTTTAGGGTCCAGTCACTCGTGCATCTAAGGGTTAATATATGAAGCACTCCTCTGCCGAATCAGTTACAAAACCAACTAAAAAAAACATTTTAAAGGAATTTCTTTTTCATTATTGCTCTAATCCCTCTCCTCTGCTCCCCTGTGTCCTGCCACTCAGAGCTGGGCCTCACTGAGTTATTGCAGAGTGAATTATTGATGGAGAGAGAGCAGCCACACTGCAGCAGGGTTCACAATGCAGGGGGAAACACAGGAAGCACATATACAGTTTTCCTTCTGTGCAATGCAGACCTTTCTCTGTTGATCAGCATCAGAAACATCTTAACCTCTTATCCTTCCATTGTGGAAACAGTAGATGTTGTTCATCAAGTAAATACATTTAAATGTGGATCGAATATATAGAAGTGCAAATAAATGTGTGAAAATTACACTTAAATAATGAAAAGTCAGATAAACATAAATAGACTTTCTTTTAATTCATTTGACTGTAATTTGGGTTTTTGTAGAATAGTAATGTACAGTGGTATATATTGTTGATTTTTGAAATATTTATATTTGTTGTTGTTCGTTATGTGTTTATCTGCATATTAGCTTAAATCTGGTATATACAATTTTTTCTCCTTTGGAGGTTAATGTATTTGTATGCATGGTCCCTGTTCAATAAAGACAATAATTCAATAGTTAAGAGGAGACTTTGCTTCAGTCGTCCCCAACTCAGATAAAATGCTTTCGGTCATTTACATTTACCATGAAATTATTATTTATATCTAAAGATTTCCAAAAATGATATGAAGGAAAACACAAAAGGCAGCTTTACTAATCATTAAAAAAAATAAAAGCAAATGCACCGCCTCTCTTACTTTGTCACATACTGTATGCAGAAGTATTATTTAAAACAACACATTAAGTGGAAGAAACACTCGAGTCAAATATAATTAAAGTCAGATCCACTCGTGTCTACTCACAACAGCATTAAACAGTCTGACAATACCACAGCGCCCCCTAGTGGAAGAACCACGACCAGCAACAGCAATAACAAACAAGCAGTAATGTAGATTTTGGATAAACTCAGTAGCCAGTTAACTATTCCAAATGTATTTAAGAAATGTTTAACACAAATCATTATATAAGGTAAAATTGGATAATGTCATGTTTTAATATATTAACTGTCAATATATACTATATTGGAAGTCAGGATTGGACTTAAAGGTCCCCTATTATACTGTTTTTCATCAATATATTATAGGTCTCAGATATATACAAAACATGTCTCTGAAGAGTTTGGCTCCAAACACCAAACAGATCATTTGCAGCATCCCATAATCCC